ACCGGGATCATATATATATATATACTTTATAGAATACCTCATTAGTATCCGATAGATTATTTCACAGAGAAGCAGTCATACCGGAACGATCAGTAGGAGCCCAACATCTGGGAGTTCGCCGGTTGAATTGTAGTTTACGGGGCAACGGATTCACATGAAGGAAATGCGAAATCTGGGATTTAGGAGCTCGTTGACTTATCTACTAAGGGACACATATAGAGAACAAGATACCTTGTAAAATAGCTACCCCCTATACATACCCTATAGAATACCATCTGCAATACCTTGTAAAATGTCCTATAGAGTGCCTTTAAGACAACCTTGTAGAATACTTTACACTTTATGCAACCCCCCGATATGCCCTACGTATGCCTTATAGAATACCATCTGGAACACCCTGCAGAGTACCTTCTAGAAGACCGCCTATACATGATATCTGCCATACACCTTATGTATGCCATCTAGAGTACCTATCGATTACCTTACCGGATACCCTTTGGAATCCCCTACAGAATACCCGATAAAATACCTTATACATAGGGACTTTAAATATGCAAAACCAGTCGGAGCCCAAGATCTGAGAAGTCCCCAGCTGAATTGTAGCTTTTGGGTATGGGATTCCTATGAAGGAAATCAGGAACCAAGAAGACTAGCCTTGCAACTGCCCTAGAGAATAACCCGTTTATATACTTAAAAAACCTTACAGAACACTCTATAGAATACCGTCCTAAATCAAGGCCATAGACTAACGTTTGCACAATACGTTATGGAGTATCCTAATTATAGACCAAGTTATAAAAATGCCCTATAGAATACCAATTGGAATACCCTGTAGTAGCATATCTTACAGAAGGCCGCCTATGTAACATACCTTCTGTATACCTCTTAGAAATACCCTACAGCATACGCTACAGATAAAGATTCAAATAAAGAAGATCAGGAGGAGCCCGAAGTTTAATAGCGTACGTTCACACCCGAAAATATGCAAAAACCACGGTGTTGTTGAATACCACAACAATTGACCTGCAATACCTTCCGGCAATTTCGGCTTTCCGAATACATGAACTGTTTTTTTGCCGAAAATCGGCTACAGATTTATCGGTAGATGGCAACAAGGTGCGTAGCAGCACTGTTGTTTGTATTCGAGGATAAAGGCGATTATATCGATATTCACCGGTGGTATCTGTACTTAGAGCTAGTGTACACATATGTGTAAATAAGCATGGGACGGTATGTAGCCTGCAAGCGTAGATCTTGGGGGGGGGGGTGGGGTGACCATACGTGTATATATATATATATACGTACATTTCCACATGCATGCACGCACACACACACATACATATATATATATATATAGATTCAGTATATATGAACCCAGAATTAGTCAAGCGTTTACTTAGCCGGGGTGCGGAAAGGGGCGCGACTTCTTGGAAGGCCCCTGTACACCTGGAAGGACGGCACAGTAATACCGTAGCTGGCAGTGTGAAGAGGAATGGCGAACACAACCACTAAAGGCCATGGCGGAGAAGCCGGCACTGATTTCATGAGAGTGTCCGTCTGCCCATGGTTTGAGTGCTGCTGCTCTAACATGAGATTGCCAGAGCAGTGGCTAGAATTAGACTCGGTCAGAAGCATTTTCTGGCAATTAGTGGTTCCTACATGGAGATCATGCAGTATCAACTCTGATGCCTGACATTTCCATGGGCGCCAAGGTCTGGAGACCCTGATCCTGGAGGGCTTGCAGAGGATGGGTTCATCAAATATTGTAGCCCCTGTAATTCGGCGAAGTGTTTCCATGTCCAAGAGCAGAGCGGCCGGCCTAGCAGTAAGCAAGAACGCCGATGTGCAGTTAAAAACCAGAACGTGGGTGAACATGCCTAGGCCGAGACATCAGACAAAACGAAGTCTAGTAGCACCGCTCGTTTCAAAGCCTGTGCATGTCATCGTGGTAGTCACAACATATCTTGTTGATGTGATCTTTTGCATTGGAGGCTCGGGCGCGCAAAGGCAGTATCTTGATTGAACAGAAACATTTCCCTGGCAGAGGAAGCAGCTCTCTGCGAGATCCGTGCGTTTTCGAGGTCGCATCGAGACGCCTGGCTTCCGGTCATCCTGGATTGTGCGTTATGGCATGGCTGCTAGCAAGACTCATTGACATGCAATTGCTCGTGGTTTTGTGAAGACTCCGAGGAGCTTGATTCTCACAGGAGCCCGCAGACAAAGTCCCTTCGTCCCATACCTGACATGCCGTGGATTCCCGGCTGCCCTCCAGGAAAGGACTGCCACCAGCTTTGCTGACGCCGGATTGGCGAAAGCTGGAGATCAGAGACCCTCGGTGTAGCTATGTATCTTAAAACTATAGGCAAATGAATGAAGACATCTATTTGTATACATGTATGTACGCATGCATGCATGTAAGTATGTATGTAAGTATGTATGTATGTATGCATGCATGTGTGTGTATGCATGTGTCTATTTGTGTATGTATGTATGCATGTATGTAGACATGATTAGACATGTATGTATGTATCTTTGCATAAGTACATACATATATACGTGCATACATACATACATACATACATACATACATACATACATGCACACACACACATGTATATACATATATGCATATGTGGGGGTTTACTATGATTCACAGCAGGGTTATGTTCTCGACCCCTTTTTTGGCTTTGTGTTGGGCGACGGCTTTTGCAGCGATGCCTGTCGGACAGAAACATGACTCGCACAATGGATCAACAGCAAGAGTCCTGCAGGCACCACAAAGACACCTGATCCTTGTTTGGGTCTGGAGATGCCGTGTGACTGTCAACAGGCTTTCACTTCAGCATTCAAGGTACAAGCCGAATCAAGCCCAAACCCTCACGACCTCGGTCCGCAAATGAAGGCCAACGTGAGAGCAAACTTTCCTGTGCCGAGCATTACCCCTGCACGAATGGTTGCGGCCGGGGTTTACGATCGACGTTGAAATTGTAGGAAGTAATTGGGGTGTGGACTCAGGGCCGAGCATACACATTGGAGTTGGATGCTGTCATTCCATCGAGATTTATTCGGTCGAACTGTGCGTGCTCCATAGTTGGGATCTTGTTGTGCATCCTGCTGTCGCTTTGGGTTGATAAGACTTGTTTGCATACGGCTTTGGGTGATCCTCTTCTTCGAAAAGCGGAAAGTTAACACATGGCATCCAATAAATGGGAGCCAGTTGACAACAATGTGCTGCTGAGCTGACCCCGTCACCATCTGAGTCGTGTAGCCAATGTACGTTTGCCTCTGATCCAATCGCTTGCCTGTGCGTTGACTGATGCATTGTACAAGGAGGTTAGGACCTGTTTGGCCTCGTTCTCTCCCTCTGTCTCTCTCTCTCTCTCCCTCTCGCTCGCTCTTTCTGTGATTCTCACTCGCTGTCTTTCTCGAGCTCCTTTCTTACTCGCCTGCTACGTTGCTTGCCGGTTTAAGTGTTCATCGTTTCAGTCTTAGTGTGAGCAGTCCACCGTGCATATTCATTTCATGTTTTCTGCACCAATCAGTACCAGGTATGGCAGCAAAAAAGACCACCAGCGGTCCATTGCAAAAACGGTAGAAAGTGCGCATGGATTTCGGGCACGACGACCACTAGGTCACTTCTACCACTGCTGCCCCTGCTACTGGCAGCACCACCACAACAAGACACCACCACCGCCAATAACAAACGGTTACTTACTCCTACCATTACGACTCCGATATGCAGTTCCAAGAACGCCCGTATGCCTCGCCTGGAGCGCACGAGTGTGAGCGCGAAGCCCTCTCGTAGAACCCTTTTTTCCGAGTCCTAGTCGGAAAAAAGGAATCCTAACAACGACTCCCCTGGAATTGCGGGGCATGAGCGGTACACGCCGACCCGCACCTGTTGCACCTCGCCTGGCTTGTCCGAGTTGTGAGAGCACAACAGGAAAACGATTGGGTCGAGCTGCTCCTAGCGGCGTTACTTTGGCGCCGCAGCATGCCGGAGGTGCGACAGTGTGCGGCGAAGCTGCAGCTGCTTGATTGGCATTTCTGTAGGGCTTTGGGGTGTAGGTTTTGGCGAATGAAGGCTGGAGCTCAGGATGTCCGCCGCAGGCTTCAAGTTCCAGGGCTTGAAGGCTTGGGGAGCAACGGCTCAAGGGGTTTGTCATGGAGCTTTAGGTCAGTGCATCGCACACGGCACAGTAAGGTCCTCTAAACCTGCAGCTTAGGAATTTCAGAATTGGATTGATCTGGTTATCCCCAAGCCAGTGCGACATGCGTCATGTCTCAGACGGGGACGATGTACCGATATTGTGGTCCTGTTGAAAAATCTCCGGGGTCGATGGCAGATACATTTTTGCAGCTCCATTTCGGATGTGCGATCACCTCGACGGACGGTTAGGGATCCTCCATTCGAAATGGACGGGGGGGAGTACCCCGTCCGAAAGTCGAAGCACCGTAAAATTGTTTCCTTGTTTTACGGCCAAGACGGCATGATATTATCCAGTCAACAAGGTGAGGGAGTGAGCGCCCAAAACCTCTTCCCATACGAAAAAGCAATGCACGCGCAGGCTATCGGAGACCATGGGCGACTTGGGCCTTTCTGTGCTTTGAATTCACGGGCCATAGACGGGTGCGGGCTATGGCAAGTGAGGCAGTTATCAGAGGCATATCATTTATCAGAGGATTGGGCAGGATCTTGGTATTGCAACTTCGATTCCGACCCAGTTGCCGAATCCGGTCTTCATGTAGTTTTTTATCTGCCGAGTTTGGATCAAGTTGTAGAGTCGTAGAGACCTCCCAGAAGCAAAATCTATGACTAAGGGCCGCACGGCGTGTGGCCGTACGGTTGCAACGATGAGCAGTGCTTCAGTAGCTGTAGGAATACTCTTGTGGAGGAGGGGCACAATAGAATGATGCGTTATGCGGCATGTGGAGGTGTGTGACATTTTGTGTGTGGTGTGTGCTCTTGGTTCGAACAGATCCTGGTAGCTGAGTTGTGTGGAACAAACTGTTGTTGTTCTTGTGCTGCAACTTGACAGAGATCACGGCTCTCACGCTCTGCCGCATTGGCTCATTTACTGAGGCACAGACCAGGGTTCAAACATATCTAGGTGCCAGCTCAGAAAGTTTCACAGCAAGGCCCCGGGGCCAGAGTCTCCTTTTATAGCAGAGAGACATAAAGTAGTGGTGTCTTAGAGGGTCCGAACCTGGAGTAGGGTTCAACACACCACTCCCACGGCCGCAAAGCTCCAGCTGGAAGGATGCAGGCCTGGCCATAAGTGCTTTGGACATGTGGTGGGTTCTTGGGGGAAAGGCGGTTCCTGTGAGAGTTTTATCGTGATGCAGATACCGAAACGTGACCCTGCTTGCAAGCGCGCCTTGACATGTCAGGCTTGGATAGTTACGAAAGAGCCTGGGGCTATACACTTAGGCACGTAGTTGGAGGCATAAGCAGCATGGAATTCATGACTCGCAGCTGCCGACGATTGTCGAGAATTCTCTGTATATGTTATATACAGGTATCGATGTGTAAACAAATAAGACCTACTAAACGCATAGTTATGTTGTATTAGATTCTGTTGTATCGTAGTATTATATCATAATATATTAGTGAAGATTCTAGATCATGCCATATCATGCCATCTCATATTGTGTTGTACTCTTGTGTATTGTTATATATATATATATTATGATATTATCTTGTATTATTTTATGTTACACTAGTAGGTTGTTATATTATGTTACAATAACAAGAACAATTATAATCACAGTCATAATAACAATACCAATGACAACCACAACAAGAGTAATATTAGCGATGATCATAATCGTAAGAGCAATTCTGCTATTAGCAATGATGATGACAAACAATAATCAGGCGTGCAATGACGAATAAGAATAGTTTTATGTAGTAGTAGTAGTAGTAGTAGTGGTGGTAGTAGTAGTGGTAGCAGTGGTAGTGGCAGTTGTAGTAGTAGTAGTAGTAGTAGTAGTAGCAGTAGCAGTAGCAGTAGCAGTAGCAGTAGCAGTAGCAGTAGCAGTAGCAGTGGGAGTAGCAGTAGTAGTAGTAGTAGTAGTAGTAGTAGTAGGAGTAGGAGTAGTAGTAGTAGTAGTAGTAGTAGTAGTAGTAGTAGTAATACGAGTACTAGTACGAGTACTAGTACGAGTACTAGTACGGGTACTAGTACGAGTACTAGTACCAGTACTA